TCTCTTCTGCACAGTCTCTCTCCATCTCTGCAGCCATGGGCTCCCTGCCCACCTCCCCAGCTGCCTGGGGCAGCCAGGGGAGGAGGAAGCAGGCTGAAGAAGCCCCACGGGACCCTTTCCAGCATGCCCAGTGGAACAAGGAGCGGGCACTGCAGAGCCCCTGCCCATCCTCCCCAGGGTTTGGCTGGATCCTGAATTCTCCCTGCTTGCAGCATTTTCCCTGAGTCAGGGGCCAGCTCATAGTCAGACCTTTGTTCCCTCTGCCAGGCCCACATGGAGGCTGCACAGGCTATCCTGGGAGAGAAAAGCCATTTGTGTACTTAGGAATCAGCTGTGGCCGCAAGAGCCAGCTGGGGTAAATTTAGCAATCGTGCCCAGCTGGGGGGTGGGGGGCATTTTTAACCCTAGAGATAGTCTGAGTTCAAACCCCGCACAGATGCACAGTCAATATTGGCAGATACATCAGTGGTGTCACTTCAAGCAGCAAAGAGAGGAGTGGAAGCCAAAGGGAGTATTACTATGAGTCAGGATACTTTGGCTCTATCCCCAGCACTGGGAGGTTGCGTGTGCTAGTGGTTAGTGCAAGAGACTAGCAGCCAGGAGTCCTGGGTTCTGTTCCCCAATATGGGAGGGAGTGGGATGGGTAGGGAAGACAGGACCCAGCTGTGAAAAGAAATAGGGTCTCTATGGGTTTATTCCAGCCCTGGCTGTGGGAGGGAGTGGAGACTATGTTTGCTCATGTAGGATGGATGCACAAGGACTCCTGGCTCTACCACCAATTTGTCCCATCTCTCTGCACCTCAGCATCTTCAAGACACTAAGTCAGCATCCAGGATCTCATAGCAATGCAAGGGGAGGGAAAACTCACTTGGGTCCACGTAGGCCCAGCTGGGATGGAGCGGCACTGAAGGCGGAGTGGGGTAGGCCCCCGCTTTCATTCCTTCCCCTGACGTTGCCTCCTCGTAGCTGGGGGGTGCTGAGGGGGCCACCGCATTGTCCCTCTTGTCTTCTTGCCCATTGGAGTTGGGAGGCTTGTTGTTCACGGAGAGCTGCATGGCAGAGAGAGCGAGGTTACAACACCCAGAGCAGACGGACAGGAGGCGAGACCCATCCTGCTGCCGGCAGGTCACAGGTGCCAAGTCACCCCCGGACTGGGCCCACCGGCGCTGCCTGGAGTCTATGGAGAGGCACCCATTGGCCTGCGGCTGAGTGGAGTGAGCATTACTTTGTTCCCTGCAGACCCCTCCACTCCTTTTACTCGGCTCTGTCCTGTCTCTGGAGTGGGGTCTAGTGGGTTAAAGCAGGCAGCCCGGACTCCTGGGATGTTCAAATGCTCCTAAGTGCCTCACTGCTGCCAAAGCCAGGGGAATTAGACATGTCACCCACCTGTCTCCATCTTCACTGCCAAAACACCTTCATAAATCTGGTGTTATCCCATGTCGTCAGACTTGAAGGCTGAATTTGAAGGAAGAGCTCAAGGAGCTTCCCTACTGTGAAGCATCGAGACCCGAGAGCAGTGGTTCCCAACCAGCGTGCCATGGTGCAAAAGCGTGCCATCAAAAATGAACAGGCGTGCCACTGAATTTTGCCACGGCACTGAGCTACAACGAGCTGCCACATGTATGAGGATGGTGTGCCGCGGAAAATGTTTATGAACGTAAGCGTGGCCTTGGGTCGGAAAAGGTGGGGAAACACTGCCTTAGTGAACCCCTCTCCCCAGTGAGTCCTACTCTCAGATGGGACCAGGCCAAATGCATTTTGACAAGTGTTTTTCTGGCAAACAAGCACAGCCAGGAGCAAACGCTGTGTCCCTTCATTCAGATATCCTGCCTTGTGCAGGCTACAGGATGCCAGCTTGCAACTCCCACATCAAGCATCCACATTTTGTGTGCGCTTGGGCACAAATCAGAGCAGGAGGTGAAGGCAGACACTGGGAGTTTGCTAGATAATGCTGTGATCTTGATTTATAAAATCATGGAAAATTAGGGTTGGAAGGGACCTCGGGAGGTCACATCTAGTCCATTCATGTTAAACCAGGATCAAGAAGGGACAGATGTACAACTATCCTGATATAACACACACCTGGAGGCTGAGGAAATACCCGGTTGGCCTTTATCAAATGCTTACCCTGGGATGGATGCAGGCAGATGAAACCCGCACTTGTGTTAACAGGCGGAGAGAATTTTCCCCTTGCTTCCTTCTGAAAAAAGCATCTAAATCTTAGGTGCCTACCTTGAAAATCCCCCAGTATCTTGCTGCGCCAAGCACCTTTCCATGGTCCAGAGAACCCCCAAGCCATTTCCAAACAGGGCCAAGCCTGCAAGGGGATCCACAGAAGAAACTCTTCCCCAACCAAAGTAAATTTAAAAGTAGACTCAAATGGACAGATCCTATTCCAGTTAGCAGGCGTCCAAGTGGATGTGGGCCCCGAAGAGATTTGATTCCTCCCTGCTCAAGTCCCTGGCAAACAACTGATGCAGTTCTTGCTGCCTTATATGACCTAGTGTTAGGGCTCAGATGACGGTGTGTAACAGAAGTAGCTGCATTGTTTTCTTCACAGACTTGAGCAGGGGGAAACAAAATCGCATATAGGCACCCACATCCATTTTGATGCCCACCAAGTCCAATACGGTTGGGCCAAAGGCTGTGAGCCGAATGGTTCTCATCTTGTCCTTGCCGTCCTCCAGGTCCCCAAAAGACCCTCAGGCTAGCACAGTTTCTGCAGGCAATGCCACACAAGGAAGCGATGCAGTCACCATCGTGTCCTGCTGCTTCTCGATTCCCAGACACCACTTACAGCTGGATCAACCTTTGGAGGAGGGCGTGAACCCACTCGTGCCTCTGGAGCTGCAGCAACATACCATAGCCACTCTACCCCTCCCTCCCTCTGAGAGCCAGGATTAGACAGGATATTACTTCATGTTAATTGATGGAATTAATCCTTTCTTGCAACCTGATCCCAACCTGATCCCATTGCAGACACTCCAGCAACTACACCCTGTTTTTGCTTTAAACTCAACACAGCTGCACCCAGATGAAAGGCTAGAGAAGTGGCCCATCAGGCAAAACTGAAAAGAAAATAAGCAGAACGACAAGTGGAGAACTAAAACGGGCCACGGGGATCATCTGTGCTGTCAGTCGAGTGACACCGTTAGCTTTGTCCTGTTTTACGCCACCACAGCTGAAAGTGCACGGCGGCCCTGAACAGACTACCATAGGCAGGAAGGAAACCTGGGCAGGATCTAACCGCGCATAGCGTCTTTCCCACCGCAGCATGACAGAGATGCATGAATGAAAAGTGCTAGGTAAGAACTAGGTATTATGAGAGCAGTGTTATGGCAGCCGTGTGAGAGAGCAAAAGGAGTTCACAAATACTACCAAACTGCAAAGAAACCCAGGATGCACCTGTACCTACACACACACCGATAACACACCCATAAAGGGCAAAGCAGGTATGAATGGAGCCCTCTCAGTTTAAACCACCCCGTTCTTTGGCCCAGCCACATATTATTATGGCTGCCTCCAAAATGCACACCAGTTAACTCCAAAGGGGCCAAATAAATACACCAATACAAACCCACTGCTGATTGCACCAATTCAACCTGCCGCTCATTTGGCTTGGGACTAACCACAGGCCCCTTGGCCTCAGCAAACAGCCATCATTTGCTAGGTGAGACCACTACCGGTCCGTCACCGGCTGATTTAATGAACACGGGCCAATCAGCGGCTGGGCAAAATCCACCGAACGTGGCCTGTGTCTGCCATTGCTGAATCCCAGACATTGCATCAACGCCACGTATGCCAGGGCAAAAATGACCTCAGTCCGCAGGGAAGAAGGAGGCTGACGGTGACGAATGAAGGAAAAGTCCTTGCAAAATGGTTGTTGAATGGGATGACGCAACCGTCTCTGGTGCAAGAGGAAACAGGAAACAGAGCCTGGTATCTATCCTCTCCCACACAGATTCCCCGCCATGCTCCACGAGTGTTACCAACTGCAATACCAGCCACGTCTCATCCCCTTTCTATGAAGGACCACCCTTGCACACGGATATAGCAGCCAGAACAGGGGTAACTTGCTTTGTCCTAGCTCTGGTCAGTCTGATGATGTAACCCTCGGACACCAGGCTTATGTAACCAGCCCAGGGATAACACGGTGTCTGGCAATTGTCTGCATCCGAGCAGCCGTGGACTTGGCCGTTACGGTTACAGTGCATCGTGCCTGCGCAAGGCTCTGGAAACCCTTGAAAACAGAATTCAGCTGGAGAACACCGTAGCCCAAAATCATCCAGGATGGGGAGCAGGGAGGATGGGGGAAACACCCACTATTGGCAACTGGTGGATGCTGTGTTACCATGGCATCTTGCAGGGGAAGAGAAAAATTCGGAGCCAGAGGGGAGGGGGTGAAAGATTCGGATGCCCTCTCCTTCTTGGCCAAGATGCTGAAGCCAGAAGAAGAATAATCAAATAGCAGCGATGCAGCCATCCGGCATGGATGGGGGTCTGCATCAAAACGACCACCCCCTGATCATGCAAATCTCCCTGGCGTTTCCCTGCCAAACCCCCTCGGCTACCCGTGTCACGCAGGCAGGCAGCATAGGGATGCCCAGCTCGCTGCCACGTTGCAACGCTTCAGTATTGCTCCCCTTCCCCAGCAAAACTGGGCCAAGGGAGGGGGAGGGTTAGAGACATCAGCCTGGCATTTGGGGTCCCAACCTACCTTCCCCTGAGTCATGGTGCCTTGCTTGTGACGCAGACTCCTGGGCTGCGCCGGGGTGAGCCGGGGAGAGGGAGCGCCTGTCACGCCTGGTCGGTGTCTGCCTGGTCGTAGGGTGGCTGGATGCAGTCGCTGCAGCCTCCGCTGATGCTTTTACATTCTAGCAACATCCACCGAGCTGCCAGCCGGCTGGAAAGAGGACTGTACCATTTCCAGCCCGCAAGACAGGGGAAGCTGGGAAAAGGGGGAGAGGATGAAGGGGG